CTCATGTTCAGGCACTACTGTGTAACATCTGGATTTCAAAAGCCTAAATCTATTCAGATAATCATCTATGGGTTCAGTGAACTTTCTCTTAACACTGGCCAATTCCTTCAAGCTTATTTTCGACTGTCCCATGTAAAATTGTTCATGGAATAATCTCTCCAAGAGAGCCCAAGTATCAATGGACCCAGGAGGCAAAGTGGTAAACCATGTGAAGGCGTTTTTAGTCAAGGAACTTGGGAAGTATTTGATCCTGAGATCTTCATTATTGGCTATATCTCCCGCTTCGGTTAGATATCTCGCTATGTGTTCGACTGTTGACTCATTGGTATCCCCAGCGAACTTTGTAAATTTAGGGACTTTATATCCCCTTGGTAAATCAGTATGCATTATGCAATCCAATATAGGAGAAGCATAATTTGGCCTTCTCATTCCTGTGTTGAGGCCATTCTGGGCCATGACTCTCTCTATCATGGTGGTTAGATTGTTTTCTGCCAGGATGTTATCGTTCCGAATCCTATGAACGACAACATCGGCATCTTGATTTCGACCAACCAAGACAACTCCCTTAGGTTGTTCTTCTCGAAACTCTGGGGCTTCTAGCCTTTCGACCCTTGCCCCTGGTTCCATAATTTCTCTTTGTGGGCCTGGGATTATTGGGGCTTCTAACCTTGGTGCCCTGGCCCCTAAGTTAACTTCTTCTCTGGGTGGTCTATAAATTGGGTCGTTAGCAATTTGTTCTATAACAGACATGTTTGCTCGAAACCCCGCTTGATTCTGCCTACGCCTTTCTGGGGGAGCAAAGAAATCTGCTATTCGACTCATGTTGTCAGCATTTTCCCTGTTTGTCACAGTCACATTTTGCACTATTGGGGCAAATATCTCCTGCATGGTTTGTGATAACACCCCTATCATATTATGGTTACTGTCATCCATCAATTGCCTAAAAGCCAACTGGTTGTCTGTGGTTAAGATAGGCATTGTGCTATAACCCACTGACCCTTGGTTATTTGTCATAAACTGATTCGCCCCAGACCCAGACCCTAGTTATGGGGATGAATTCGATGTGGAATTGTGTAAACCTGCCATAAAAGATGTTGGCATTCCATAAGAGGAATTTCTGGTTCTATTCCCATCGAAACCGGGTGGTCTAGTTGATGGAGTGGCGAAATGGGATTGTGTCCCTGATGGTGGAACGAATCCCCCAGGGTAACCAATGGTTCTAACATTTCCTAAGATCGAACTATTAGTTGATATGCCACTTGCTCCATTGGTGGCTATATTACTGGTTGAAGATGCAACAAACTGTGCATTCGAAGGGATCACATTAGATGTTCCGATCGAAGTGGACACATTAATGCCTGTTGTATGTGGGGCATTTTGTTCCCCTTGTTGATTGTCAGAATTAGACATTTTGTCCAAACGTTTTCTTCTGGATAAAGGTTGGTTGCTGTTGGTTATTTTACCACTTCTTAGGTTCATAAAACAACAAACTTCTTAGGTTCCAACGTTTTTATAATGGTTATGTCTCAACAATCTTTATTTCTAATATCCAATTATTGGTCCCACCGGGTGTGCCAATTTGTTTCCAGTGATTTCTGGTAAACAACCGCTAGTCTTCCAAACTATCGAATAATCTTTCTGACTGTTATTCAATTCCTCTGGTAACTCACAGGATCGACTAGATTGATCCTAGGATTCCTTGGACATTAAGGTTACTCTCATGATCGAACAGATATTCATGGTTGATATTTGAGTGTTGTATAGGTGTTTGGCTTATTTCGATTTCTCTCGCAAAAGTCTAAAGATGTAATCAAAATGTGCGTGTACGAACTAAGTTGCATGAATAAATGTTAATTGTAAAGACATGTAAAATTGCATAAAAGGCAAGTAAATGGTTTCGAATTATAAAAACAGTTAATGTAAAGGATTTCTGGAACGTAAAAGGTTTGAAGTATGAAGAAAGCGTTTAATGCAAGAAATCTATAAATGACTTTAAGTAAAAATATGCGTTCGAAGGATAAAGCTTGAAGGTAAAGGTATGGAGAATATGACAATTTTCTGAAATGTAAAGTGCTTGAAACGTGAAGAAAGCATTAAAATGTAAAACTTTAAAGAAGAGATTTCGAAGTGAAAAGACTGTAAATGAGAAAACTTGTAAATGTTATTTGACAGAAAGATAAAGGAAAGTGCTGGAAATGGTAAAAGGTTTTCATTAAATCAGAAATACATGGTGCTATCATACGTACATTGCTCTTGCATTCGTTTCCCTTGCCATGTGGTAGTTTGAATGTTACTGAGTATTTAGTACAATAGATATGACACACGAAATCCTAATACTAAGACTTCTATTTATACTAATTCGACCATAACGGTCTTGCTATAGGATTATGCCACGTTCAGAACATGCAGAACAATGCCTCTTTCTTCTTTCCACGTGTCTCCAAATGCTCCAGCACATAGATTTCAAATTTCGAATGTCCCGCTTCCATTTGAATTTCAAATGCTTTGGTATTTCTCCGTTTCGAACGCACTTCCCAGACACAGCCTTGTTGTTATTTCGAGACTTCTTTAGATATGTTCCCATAATTGCCACTCGAAGCTCCAAGCTTTGACATGCTTATTCGAAACACTGCTTCTGCTACTTCAAAACATGACGCTTTACCTCATTTCGATCGAAATGTTTAATTCATTTGGCTTCTAATAATATTATCAAAATCTTCAGCCAACAGGATGATAATAGTGTTAGAAGCACATTTATGCCTGGGATATTTTTTGAGTTAAATCTAGATGTCTTCTCTTATTGAAGACATTTATATTCAAGGCCAACAAAATAACATGAATATGATCACTCTTAAAGGAATTTGTTTGTCACATTAGTGACGAATGGACCAATATCTAATGAGTAACAATGATATGTAAACTCTAAACGGCCATTTGGGCCGCACAACCTTACTTCTAATAATGTGATAAAGAACTACTTTTCATCCCGCCCTCGCTAGTAATAATGGATTATATAAGGACAGCATGGGACGACACACAAAATCAACCAACCGACTATGTCATTGCCTCATACTCACGGAATCTTCAACTCAAATTTATTACTAATAATTTAATTTAATTTTAAATGTTTTTTTTCATATTTCATTTCACAAAAAAAAAAAACCCTGAAACATCATCATCACATATAATATCAAACTTTGAGAAAAGTTAGTATATCTCAACAGTTTGATCAGCAATTTCATGTTCATCTTAATATTTAATATTTTAATATTTTAAAAAATAATAAATTAGTTTTAAATTAATATATATATATATATATATATATATATATATATATATATATATATATATATATATATATATATATATATATATATATATATATATATATATATATATATATATATATTAAAAGTGTAATTCAAATATGTATTTAATTAAAAAATACAAATGCTGAATTTTTTATTTACATATTCTTTATTATGTTATAATAAAAAACATTAAAACAACACTTAATTATTCAATATTTGGTGTTCATGTTAACAACTTTGGATGAATTAAGCAAGTTCATGGACTTATACAATTTGTCAAACAATCTACTATTTCGATAATCACACAATGTAACCAAGTTCTAGGACACACCCATTAATTTGCAACCTTTAAAGCACTTTTTTCATCTAAATAAAAGCACTCAACTTAAAGAGACAGCCAACATACACCACCTAGAATAAAATAGTAAGCCAATATCACAATAATTCAACAAGACTTCTTGATTGGTGATCTGCAGAGTGTGTCAGGACTGATATTTCAAGACCAACAGCTCACACAATTTCCTTAACGCTCTTGATTGATCATCTTCAATTTTATCTGAACTGAATCCATATTGCTCAACAATAATAAATTAATAGTAGTTCTAAATTGTCCTGCAACATCTTTCTTTACAAGAGATCACCTTAATTCTTTAGAATCCATTGGAAGGGAACCATATGCGCCAAGCTTTTCTATACACTTATACCCCATAACTTGCAATTATTTATTTACCTAGAATAGTTGTACCATAAAATCATCTGGCATATAAATATATTTATGATCTTAATTAACTAATAAAAATCATTTGATGTCAATACTAGATAAGACACTCTTTTTACATTTATTAGAATGTTATTATAAAAAATCACCAAAGAACACAAACGCATAGTTACAAGACATATTTACATCATTCTGTGGCCAGTTATCATCATGAGGATGCTGATCTCAAAGAGGAAGAGTAGGAGGTGTATGCAAAGAGGCAAGTCAGGTGAACTATTAATAGTAGTCTCTTGATCAACAATCTGATCTCCCCTCTGATGCTCGAGGTTCTGTTATACTAAAGCAGCAGAAGAGGTTTCTTCCTGCATATCCCACTCCATGTTAGCATGACCTTGCCTTATACATAAGATTGTATCAATTGGTCAAGACTCTCACAGAAACTACTTCCGAGAATATTAGAGACGCGTCTCCTGCAAGATGAACAAAGCCATTTATTCTGGATACATCTTTTACTTTAAAATGATAGGTGCAGAAACTCATATCCCGTTTTTACATACCTACTGTGAAGTTTCTGGTTATCTGATACATCATCGCAACACTCAATCTCAAATCCAACACAAATCAGTTTGTGAATATTTGGCACCACATACATCACAACCCTCATGTCAACCATTGTTATCTGAAATGTTTTGAATCCTCATTGGATGAGCAACACATACATTACAATAGACAACATTGCATACTTATTTTAAGGATCACGAATATATAAATAAAATAGCATTAGCATTTGTACCTTTTTTGCCAATGTATGACTTTATGTTTTGGTATGCTGGGAGTTGAATCGCTACATGACTTTCGCCAGCTAATGACGGCACAATGCCACTGCATCAAGTTAAATATAAGAGCATCATAAGTTGTGTAGTGTACCTTTGATTGGTGGAAGATGGTTTAGAAGTTGCTACCTACTTTTTCTACATCAAGAAACAAATGGAACAGTTGGTGAAATTTAACCCATTATGCCCAATGTCAATTGCTAGCATTGAAACACAATAATTATAATTGAGAATACTCATCGCCAATCGCTCCTTATAATCTGCATGTAAAATAATATCCCTAATAGGTAATGTTCTCTGATCAAGAAATTTGTCATCCAGCAGAGCCTTGTCCACTGTGAAAATGAAAATACTTTTACAATAAGCATATCAAATACAATCATCATACACAATAGTTAAAAATACATAGTCTGATAAGTTTACCACATCTTTTTCTTCGCCGAGATGAATTAATGGGAGAACTTTTTAGGAGGTGCTTCAGTAATCTTTTCAATATCATTATTAGCCTTCTTGCATTTTCCAGATGTTTTGTGATTTTCAAGAGGTGCTTCAGTAACCTTTTCAATATCATCATTAGCCTTCTTTCATTTACCAGATGTTTTTCCATTTTTAGCCAGATTTCTTCTTAGAACATGATGATGTTTTTTTCTTCTTGGATGGAAAATCCACTCCGTACTCATCATCATTTTCTTCATGTTCATCTTTATCAAAATCATAAGGAGGATCAAGGACATAAACATTCTCAATAGCCTCATTCAATGAGGTTTTAACAGGTTACAAACTTCTTGTTTTCTCGATTGCCTTAAGGTTTTACCACCTTTATCCTCCACAACAGCAATAGAAGATCTTTTATGCTTCTTTAGAGATTTTTTTGTATCATTAGCATTCTGAGATAGATTGCAAATAAAATGATAAACCATCAAAAAAATTGGATACATAAATCAGAGAAATGGGGAAAATGACAAATCATAATAACAAATATTTACTTCTTTCTCTCCGATACCGTTTAGCTGCAAAAAGTCAACCAATGTGGGACTATCTATAGAATTTGTCAACCCTTATTGCATTGGAATTCCAGATGTTGGGCTAGTACCAAATTTCATGGATTGATAATCGTAGACATTATCAATTGGGCAGCCAGGATTCAAGTTTGCACCTTCCTGAAACCAATGATAATCACGCCCATTTTTATACTAAAAAAATTATTTATCTAGTATATGTTTTAGGAAATTATCATATCAAATAAATCACATAATCTTCACCTGTGATTCCGACCTACTTTTGTTAACATACTCTGGAAGGACAAATTTTTTTCTCTATACCCTTCACATTGGAAGATTTAAGTGTTGGTTTTCCTGCAAACAGTTTTCCAATAATTATTCCATCATGAACTACAACCTCTGAAGTTATATTCAGGAAATCTGGATGTGAAGGAATAACTGCTTTAGAGCTTCTATTGTTTTCAGAGAATGGAATACTTAAGCTTATACAATCAATTTGCATCTACATACCTTCGGGCCAATATTCTCAATCCAATGTACCTAGTTATGCTTATCTCTGGAAATTTTAAGCCATAAGTTAGTCGAACCACTTTAGACGGAAAAGCAGCAATAAAAGAATCATTCCTCCAAACATGCACGAGTTCATTCACATGAGGAGATTAATGGGGTGAAGCAAAAGAGTGGTGTCCGAATAAAGAAATGCATATAGATATCAATAATATCATGTCTCTGAGATTGGTAATTTAACTTAAGCACATATTATATGTATGTATATCTATCTAAATATGTAGATTTATATTAGACTGATCTTTATATAAATGAATCATGTTGCAGAAAAAAATTCTGTTAGAAATTCGGTTAGTTTGTTTGGCAGTGTTCCTTCTACAATTTGGAACAGAAAAATTTATCTTGGAGTTGGAAAATAAACTGCGAACCATTGGTGAAGATTAGAGCAGGTGAAGTGAAGCTGAACCTGGGTAGTGTCTCGCACACATAGGGGTGTGCATGGTTACCATATATTGTGATCAAATCCACTTTTATAGTTATGGTTTACAAACCAAACCATTAATCACAAAAATTGATTTAAAAAACATAATTGGTTTCAAACCGGATTAAAACCGGTTTGAAACCAGTTTTAATTTTAATCCAAATTATTTAAATATAATTTAATATATATTCAATTCATTTTAATTAATAAAATTTTAAAATTAATTCAGGACTAATTTTTTTAAACATTAGTAAAGTACATCCTTAATTTAATTTTAAGCAGATTTTAAAAAATTGTTGCGGTCGTATTATAATTTTTGCAATTTCGGTCGATAGAGGTGTTACGACATTGATTGTGTTCGTCGCAGTGTAAATTATTAATTATAATTTATTTTTTAATATAAAATAGATATCAAAGTATCGATATCGACATATGTCCAAAACATTTTGTTGCTGTCGTTCTCACACAAAGCATTTTTTAAAACCTTTTTATATTTAAATGATCCTTTTTGTTTTATCAATCCTAAAAGAAAAATCAATTAATACTGAGATAGTATTAATTAATTCACTATGCACATTCGTTTTCTTATATAAAGTATATGTATATTGAATGAAAAGAGATCAAGTTCAAACAAATTTCTTTCAAATTTAAATTTGTCTTCTACAGTGATAATAATATATCTTGCTTTTTAAATGTTTAGTATACTATATCTTTCAATTTATTTGAGAGTGTTTGCATATTTTTTAACTATAATTAAACATTTTTATATTTATTTAATAATTAGTCATTTGAAATAAAGTGTTAAACATCATTCAATTTTTATGAAAATGTGTAGTGCTTATTTTCTTGAGAAAGTGTGAAAATTGGAAAGCAGAAAAATTTGATGAGAAAGAAATTTGGATACCCAATAACCATTTTATGGGTACCGGTTTACCACTGTGACCATAGATGGACCACCAAATCCAATATTTAATATTTGGATTGGTTTTTAATAAATGGAACAATTTGAATATGAATTTGGTTATCAGTAACCAGTTTTTTTGCACACCCCTACGCACACCAAATTTTGTAATCATAAATTAGTGAATTGCCCAGTTTAGATAGAAAGCCCCCTCACATTTCCATAGAGGCAAACCTTCTCTTAATGCAACCTCATCAATTTAGATGACGGTAACGCCGACTTTCTCAAGATCTTCAACCTCTTCCTTTATAGCCAAAGCAATCTGGTAGCAAGTCTCAAATCTAATAACAAAAGGAAAATGTTAAATGAAATTGACATACTGCAAAATGATCATCATTTATAACTTATAAGGTGTTTTTGCAAACCTAGGTTAGTCATATCTAACTAAGGACCAGTTCAGAATAGTAACAGGGCCATTAAGCATTCCCTTCATGGATCGTTTGGTCAAACTCTGAGATGTCGAAGACCAGAAAAAAAGTCTTTGGATTTAGATAACTCACATCACCATAGATAATCGGTGGCTTGACACAGCAAGATCTGTAGGATTGCACCCACCAGTTGGCAGTGAAAGCAAAGCCAGATAATTTTTCTCTGAAGTACTCAACCATGTCATTCCTCTAAATTGGCAAAAGAAATCAACTTATAAATATTTATAGTTTGAACCATATTTTCACACAATAAAGAAGCATACATTAAACCACTAAATAAATGATAAATATCCACTCCATGCACCAAGACATCAATGTCGAGCTCTTCCAGGATCATATAGTACATAGAGAAAGTTAAGTGTTAAAATTTGATAATCATGGAATGTAGTAGATAACTAAATAAAAAGAAGAAGAATGATGCTTACTTTTTGGCCTTGTTCAAAACATCCTTAGAGAGTGTGATTTACCTAATCCTTTTGTCCAGACATTGCCTTGGCCAATGCATTTACTTCAACTATTTTCGGTGCTGCAAATGCAAGCCAAGACTTAATCTCTTGATCAAGATTCGTCTCTATTATACTCTAAAACTTTTCCTCTCATTTCACTCAAGACATGCCTCTAGAGGTCCCCAACTTGCCCTAGGACGTCTAAGAATTGACCAGGCAAACTCTCCCCCTAAAGGCAATGAACCTCAACTAGGGTTTCAATTTTAAGCAAGATGTGTGAGTACCAAGGATCCCAAATTTTCTCCATTGTCCTAATATGTGCTCAAGATCATCCATACCAAATTTCATGCCTGGAACAACAAGTTTGCTCAGTCAACTGCTCAAATGCCTGAAAATTTACTATACTAGGTCAAAAGTCAACTGTGGCCCAAATACAGTCAAACTTCAAGATTTTTGGTCAATATCAACATTTTGAAGTAATATCCATCATTTGATCAAGGGTTGATCATAATTCCTCAAGAAATGCTCCTAACTCATCAAAAGTCAAAAATGGCAAATTAGGGTTTCTATAGGAAAAGTCAACCAAACTTTGACCAAGCATAACTTTCTCATACTTTATTAGAAATTTTTCCACCAAGGCTCATTTTGAAGATAATCCAATTCCCTACAACTTCTCATCAGCCCTAAACATCAAGAAATTCCTCAGTTAAAATATACAAACTCATATATTATAGGTACTTTCAAAAAGTCAACAAAAACACCTTTTGGGTCAAAGCTCCTTACATGAACATGGAAGATCCAATTGAGATGAAACTAAAAAGGTTGTTTAGAGGAAATCCTAAGATCTCTAAAAAGTCCAATATCACCCTCTTAGGATTAAAAATGTGAGAGATATGCATTGCTAAAGTTGACCAATTTTGGAAAAGTGCATGAAGCCAATATTGACCAAACTTGAATTTTTTCCAAATGGGCCCATGTTTTCATGCTTGAAACTTGTTTCTAACATGGCCCACGACCTCTGAGATCACTCATACATTATTTCATTATTTTTATTATTTATTTTGATTTTTTATTCATTAAAATTCAAAATTAAATAAATAAATAAAAGAAATAATGAATTATATGATTTGGGAATCTTTTTCTCATCAAATAAGGGATAAGATATGCTGGCAAATCAAAGGAAAATCGTGGAGGGAAGATGAGATTGGATTTAGTCCAAAACAAGCCAAAAATCAAATAATTAGAAAGAAAATATTTCTCATCAAAGCATGGATCTTGTTCTACAATTATTAACCTAATATGATTCACTACATATACACTACAACTCATACCTAATAGGACACGAAAAAGCTGTCTCCAAACCTAGAGAAAAAGTTCAAAAAAATTCACAAAAGGTGCAAAATTGTTCTGCCATATTATGCCTCTTTCCAAGAAAATAATAGCCACAAATCATATCCAGGACATCTTCAGGGTAAGATAGATTGAATTCCCATGCCTGTTTGTACTTGAAATCATCGCATGCATCATGACTGATTTGCTTTCTTTTTGATCAATCGTATTCTGAATTACATGCATTATTGAGGAATTCTAATGACTTGAATCTTCTAGTATGATCATTTAGAACATGTTGATGCCCTTACATGTGAACTGGGATGTGCGGATAACTATTTGCCATTGTTGACCGCTGCTGTGCGTTTTTTCTCATAACACCATTTGCAGGGCGTTTCAGGCCAAGAGGACCCTACCATTGGATCCGCAACCCTTGAATTAGGGGGGAAGGATC